GATCGAGCTGAACTGTTGCTCGGCAGTGCAGCACCACCACCTAGGAATGTCTGAAAGCATTCCCCAACAGCCATCTCACATGCCGTCATCATCGGAAGTGTTGGGTTTGCTGGCGCCGGCGGAGGAAAGGCAGGTTGAACTGGATGTGTTGCTGCCAGACGTGCATCCCTTGGATGTAACGGACGAGACTTGGGCGGATCTTTCGGTTCCGGCACACCCTCTGGAGAATCAACCTCAACCACTGAGCGGCTTTGGCGGCTTTGCAGCCGGCTTTTTCGGCTTTGCAGGCATGCTTTTCGTAAGAGGTGCTGGCTTTGTTTTTGCCGTTGCCCCTACTTCTGCTGATGCCATTTTTTTTGCTGGCGGTCTTGCTTTTGGTGGTGCTCCTGCTTTTGGTCCTGCCCCTGGCTTGTCTGTTGATGCTGTTGCGCTGGCTTTTGTTTTTTTGCTGGTGATGCTTTTGGATCATTGGTCCACTCTGGAGCGGGCACTGGTGGCCTGGCAAAAGCCGGAGTAGCAGAACTGGAGGATGCAGGATCACCACCCCCTCTTGTGGCGTCATCGACATCTGTCTCCGGGATCTCAAGCGGAGCAGTTCGTGCTCTTTTGGCATCTGGCAGCACCTCAAATGCTTTGCATTGAAGACGACACACACACACACACACTCAATTGAGGATGTCAATTGTGACTGAAATGTTATTATTTATTCTTGAAGCTGAAGCGAAAATGTAGTGTTGCTCCCAGCTGCTGCTGCTGCAGCAGTTCCTCTTGACTTCGTCTTCTGATTTCGCTTCTGAAGCTTCTGAAATGTCGTGGCAGGTAGGTCCACGGGATGTTCCTGCTTGTCCTTGACCATTCTTGTTTTCAAGTTCCTGAGTCAAAGTGGTACGTGTTGGCACTACAGGGCAGACTGCAAATCAAATCAATGCGGAATTCGAGTCCAGGCACATCTGAATGGAAGCCCAATCAGTCTGATTTGCAAATTGGTCGGTCCATGTGGTCCAAGCATTTTGCAATGCTGCCTTCCATTGATCCGACGACCAACCAATGGACGGCAGGAGATGCTTCTGCTTCCTGATGCACACTTTGGCAGAACCATGGATTGCATTTAAATATTTACATATTACAACCTCAAAACAACATTCGAAAATCTGAAGCTGCTCAGCGACACGTGATGGCCATTGGCGAAGTCGATAATGTGCTGTTGATCGGCAGCGATGGCTCTGTAATCTTCCTTTCTGTGCCTCTGGACTAAAGTGTCGAACCATGCGACGCATTCGATGCCACAGACCTGCACTGACAGCTGATATACTTACAAAAACTAGACAATTGAGTGTCACCTGGACCAATGAGTCAGTTCAGCACAGCGACTTGGAAGAGAGCCATGACCAACGCAATCATGGCACACGTCCTGTGCCATCCCGCCGAACAGCAGATCCTGACAATTGAAGGACCACATAGGAGGGTTATAATTATCCTAGTCCCTGAACCTAAAAAAAACCTCCAAGACCTTCAGCATTCAAAGACTCGAGAAGCCTGAGCAACTTGTCGGGAAAATTGAGGATGAAGTGGAGCGTCTTGAGCGCTGCGGGATGACGATACACCTCGGTCATTAGGGTGAATTCTTATTAAAATTAAAATTAATTATTATACAACTCGATTCATGAAGCAACACCTGTTCGACCAGGCACCTGTTCCATGATATGCTGGTATAGGCCACATTCTCTGCCAAACCTTCCTCCTTCGGCCTCCCTTGGCTTCCATCCATGACTGTCACTGTCACTGCCCTCAATTGTCAATTGAGTGAAACTGAAATGAATGAAAAATGTACAAATGTCATGAAGCTTCGACACGTGCATTGACTGCTGCAAGCGAACCTCCCATTTGTTAGAAAAGTTACATTCCCTGTCCAACAAGTCTGCCATCTGAGGTGATGGACGATTTCCATGGTGGGCAACCCCATAACCAACGATCACCACTCTCTTCGGCCAAACGTAGGTTCTGCCGCCCAGGAAAACTGACCTCGAAGTGTTGGAGCAGAAAGCAGCTGCCGAAGAGCTCGGGTTGTCAATAGAGCTCACATCGTCATCAGTAGCATCAATAGCCGGTTCGTGGTCTCTTGTTTCTCTCGGGGTCCTTCCACTTGCGTCCCCAATCGTCCGAGTCGTCTTCTTCTTTGCCCCGCCCCAAGTCACCGGAACTTTTCGTTGAGGCGTCTGCGGCTTTCTTGCTGCCGTAGTTCCCGACATCGAATTGGCTGTATACTATCCCCAAGCTTTGATTGTGCCTCGAATGAACACGGAATTGTAATGATGAAAGCTTAAGCGCCAAAAAAAAGGGCTGCATCAATCTTTGCCAAAGTGCTCTCTAACGTTCTTGTTACAGGCTGACAGAATCCAGGCTTCTGGTTTCTGGATGCCGTCTCTTCCCCGTTTGAAAGATCTCCTCAAATGTTGTTGCATTGAAACAATGACATGTCAGGTAGCAAATTATTCTCAATTGGAAATTGTCTGAAATGTACTGCAGGTGTCACAAGATCACCAGCCTTTCTCGGGCAGAGCAAATAGAGCAAGTAGATTGCTTGCTGTGCTTTCCGGAGATCCTGGCCCTGCTCCTCGAGACACAATTCCTCAGGGAGATGCTGGAGGGCCACACTCGACATAGCACAACTTGAGCCAGAACTGCAGCATTAGGTTACAAGGGGCTCACAATCAATCACCAAGCAAGCTGACACACACACACACACACACACTCACTGAGCCTTCCGCGCAAATATCACTCACATGCCTTCTGAAACGACTTCACCTGGCAAAATGCAAATTTCATGCCAGCCCTGCCCCCCCCCCGGCTCTGTCAAAACATGCCAGGCAGACCACTTGAGCCAGAACTGCAGCATTAGGTTACAAGGGGCTCACAATCAATCACCAAGCAAGCTGACACACACACACACACACACACACACACTCACTGAGCCTTCCGCGCAAATATCACTCACATGCCTTCTGAAACGACTTCACCTGGCAAAATGCAAATTTCATGCCAGCCCTGCCCCCCCCCCGGCTCTGTCAAAACATGCCAGGCAGACCTTGCCATTGATGCTACCACAATAGTTATACTACCGCAAATCATGCTACCACAATTAGCGCTACCACAATTGTTGCTACCACAATTGACAAATTGATGCTACCAGAACTGATGCTACCAGAATTGATGCCACTGCAAAATCGAATCAACCAAGCCAAGCAATGCCATGCTGACTACCACAGTTGCTGCTACCAGAACTGATGGTATCAGAATTGATGCCACCGCAAAATCGAATCAGATGCCACCGCAACAATCGAAGCAATCAAGCCATGCAATGCCATGCTGACTACCACCATTGACATTGATTGATGCTACCAGAATTGATGCCACTGCAGCATCGAATCAACCAAGCCAAGCAATGCCATGCTGACTACCACAATTGATTGATGCTACCAGAATTGATGCCACTGCAGAATCGAATCAACCAAGCCAAGCAATGCCATGCCGACACAGTAACGGCCTCCCCAGCGTCTTTGCAAACACGAGTGTGCTCTGACAGTCATGCGGACTGGAGACTTCTTTAAATGCCACCCCCATTCGGCCAAGATGGGGTCACCCTGCTGAGTATGCGCCGGCAAATCAGATGCGGAGCGCTGAAATCCAATTGCCTTGCATACCGGCCCGCAAGAGGACAGGTCATGCTCGTCATCGAGTGCACCGGAATCGCTGCGCAACGCGCCGGTTACTGAAGACCTGTCAATGAGGCACAGCATAAGATGCCATGCGGGGCCATGCCGGCAAGCAGCAGTGATCGAAGTTAATATTTCGACCGTGGTGTGGGTACGTGGCATAGTATTTATTAATAGTAGCGAGGCCTTCCCTGCAATCTGTGTGCATTTCACCCCGCGGCGGACACACCACCTGGCTGGACAGGCGAGCAGCACACAGAGTAAATCCCCAGCGCCCGGCCAGCGACGCTGTCCCGCACGGATCAAGGACCCATTGCTCACGTGGTCCGAGCCCGACTGGAGCGGTCTCTAAGACCACTCTGAGCTTGGGCGTGCAGGATGGGTAGGGCGAGTCGAACCAAGCCAAGCAAGCCAAGCAAGCCAAGCAAGCCAACCAAGCAACCAAGCCAACCAAGCAGTGGCACGTGACAAAGGACCACGTTTCAGCTTCCAACACATCCGGCTTGGACAGAAGCGAACACCATCGCTCAATACATCCGGCTTGGACAAATGCAAAAATGTTTGGCAAAAAAGGGTTTCCTCACGCTGGCTTCCCAGTGTGCTTTAAAATGTTTTGGTCAACGGCCGTGCCCCCGGCACTGAAATTCCTAATAAAATACATAAATAAGCTAATACTACAACAGCTTGAAACCTTAAATCGGTATATTGAACTGCACTATTGAGGAAATTGGATTTGGCCTTCAAACCCCCCTGATCCAGCCCCCAAGGATCCAACCCTCAAAACGAGTGTGTGGATTCAAGCTCAGCCAAACGTCAGACAGCCCAAAACGTCTTAACACTCAACTGACTGCCCTAAACTCCCAAAGAACAGAAACTGAAACCTCGTGGATGCCTGCTGCCTCCAATGGCCTCCATTGAAGCCCTGTCGATCTCAGTCTGGAATCCTCGAACGAACGCGTGATTCTCATCTGGCAAACACAATACGGCAACGATCGACTGCCTAACCACTGAAACTACAGCGATCGTTGAAACTTCCAACCCTAAAGCCCCAAGACCCTGAAACCTGAAACCGTAGCACGTGTTGTTCTAATTCCGACCTTTGCGAAGTGTCTAGTGCTCTGCTTACAGAGGTCTACATTCGGGATTTGGGTCCAGGGATTTCAGACTCAAGGCTAAACCTCGACACCCCTTACCCCCTGCACCCTGGCTGTCAGGGTTTATGGCTTATGGTTTCGGGCTACAGCCTTTACCTTTACGGTTTCGGCTGTGGGGTACACGGCAGGAGGCAGAGCCCATCGTATCGCTCGCCACTGTCGTTGTCTCCACACTCTGTGCCTTCGCAGACGTACTGGCCTGGCGCAAGCTGTGGGGGCCGCAGCCTCGTTTTGAAATCCAAACACATTCCACAAACTAACAACACAGCTTGCTCACACTCTTGGCACACAGTGATTGCCATACCCGAAGTTTATGTAAAGCATGATGCACATTTCCCGAAGCGTATATTCTGCCTTCTGTTATATCATACCATGCTATGCCATATTACTATACGGCATTTCTCAACTTCTTATCTTAAATCTATTACTGCATTCTATCATGCCATCTTGTTTTACGCGATACGACACGCTACAACATTGGATATTACCAGGCAAGATTTTATCATGTGGTTTTACACTACATCACATTATACCGTGTCACATTATGAAATACTGTTATCATATCATACAGTATCATGTCATCTTGATATACAACATGTCATGTCATATGACATCATATTATCGTACTGTATCCCCTCAGGCCGTATTATACTACTGGACTGCAAGGTCATGATATGTTATGCATGTCATACCATAACATATTACAAGTTATACTACAGCGCAGCAGAGTTTACTCGCTGCCCTGAATCCCAAGCGCGCGGAGTCCTGGCACGTCGATGTTGCACGGGTGGGGCGTGTAAGCCGTGGCCATGTTGTTCGCCTCAACCCCAGGGTGCCCTAATGCGGGACATCGAATAAGCCATGCCCAAACCCTGAACCCTAAACCCTGTAGGTTTCATTTATGTTCCTTAAAGGGGACCCTGAGGCTTACTACTGCGGTCATTATGCAACGGTACGACTTTCAAAGTGTCCGACGGCAAAAGGCGAATATGGGGTCGTGAGAATTGTGTGTAGTATACTTTAAGTATGAGAGGAGCGGTAATAATTCAGGCTTCTTTATTTCATGGCCTACACCGGCCACCAAATCAACAAGTAAGTACTAGTTCCATTGCTTCAGTTGACCATCAATCAGAAGGAACGATCCGTGCCGACCCAAGTACAACACTCCAAAGGCCGAAGACCCGAACCCCCAAACACCACCAGTCCTAAACTTTAGAACTTTAGAACCCCTCAACAACACACAAGCCAAAACCCCTCTAAACTCCATGCACGCAGACCCCCAAACCCCTAAAAGAAGGGCCCTTTGCTGCTTAGAGAGTAGGATTTAGGGTTGTAGGGTTTAGGGTTTCGGGGTTTAGGGGTTTAGGGGTTTCGGGGTTTAGGGGTTTAGGGGTTTCGATGGGTTTCGGGGTTTAGGGTTTTAGGGGTTTAGGGCTTTAGGGGTTTAGGGCTGTAGGGGTTTAGGGCTTAGGGGTTTAGGGTTTAGGGGTTTAGGGGTTCAGGGCCAGTTTAGGGTTTAGGTATGCAGGACAGGCTTCGAGGGACGCTAAGTTACAAAGGATCCCGGTTCTCGGTTCACCGACCCCCCCCCCCCCCCAATGGTATCCACCCCCCCCCCCCCCCGCTCCCCAAACCGAACTGTGCAAGCTTTTTCCACACGAGGGCTCACACGCCAAGCAGACCCACGCAGGAAACCCAAACCACACCACACGACAGGGGGGAGTGGGGCAAGCTTTTCCACACGAGGGCTCACACGCCAAGCAGACCCACGCAGGAAACCCAAACCACACCACACCACAGGGGGGAGTGGGGTAACCAGCCTAAGCAGACCCACTCCCGAACCACAACACCACAGAAAGGGGGGGGGCAACCCACAACCACACCACAGCAGGGGAGGAGGAACCATTGGGGGGGGGAGGGGGGGGGGGCCGGCCGAACCGGGATCATATATGGGTGGTTGTCAATATTAGGGTCCCTTTTTGGGTACCCTAAATAATAGGTGCCGTATTATATTACGGACCCAAAAAGGGACCCTAATTTTGACAACCACCCATATGGTTGTTCTCCAATGAGGGTCTCTTTTTTGCTCCCCAAAGGAGTACGGCACCCTGCCTAACCCAGAGAACTACCTCTACTTGGAGGGACGTAATAATTAAGTATGGTTATAAGTCCCTTAATTGGGGTTAGATGTAATCATATTTACAGTTACCTTAATAATGACCCTAGTTGCTAAGTCTCATGATCCTTTAAGTATGAAGGCTTGTCTGGATAAGCGTGCCCTTTTTCGTGGGCCCGGCTCTACAGCTTGAGGGTTGAGGAAATGGCCAGAGAGCCCCTAATCCCCTTAATTACGGAATATAGCATACATCATAATCTGAAGCCCTATACAATTTAAGCCATATTCCTTAATTGCGGGGTATTGGGCTCTCTGGGTGAATGCTCTGACCCACTTGGTGTAGCGTCGCATGGCTCGTTTCATGCGCTGATAAAGAACAACACAGCGACTCCGCAAACAAGGCTTATTTGCGCTCACTGACCTCAACAAACCCAAAGGCTCCATGTACCTTTATAGTATAGGTACTTAAGCCTTAAAGGGGTCCCTATATGGGTACTTTCAGGCCTAAGTATATACTATATGGGTACATGGAGCCTTAGGGAAAGGAACTTAAAAGTGCTTCTGTATGGAAAGCCTCTCGCTCCGTACTCTAGACATTCCGATGTAGATTTATGATTCATGGATATAAACGGTTAGGTGGATCTTGCCGAAACCCAAAAAATGAATAGCAGCGACCCCCAAAACCCTCACCCTATAACCCTACGACTCTAAATTAAACCTTGAAGCCCCGAACCCCGAAGCCTAAACCCGTCGGATGGGCCTCGAACCGTAATACCGAAAAGTACCGGCCGGAACTAGTATCGCACGCTTATGGTCCCTATATGGGACTTTCTGAACATAGGGGACCCAAATATAGCACCCTACATAGTAGGATCCGTAATATAAGGAACCCCTAATAAGGTACCCCTACTTTTCGGAAACTCCCATATCCTAAATGTGATTATGCGATCGTATGCACCAAAGTCCTTTTCAAATGGTTCCTTGTTCAATAAGCGGGCAGCCTCCCAAATGTCCATCTCTGCGCAGCAGGCGCCATAGTGACCCAGACCAATGGTATTGCTGAAGTCCTTCCGACAACGATCCCGAAAGGTCCAAGTTACGGTTCAAGAATCAGGATACAAGGCGACCAAAAAATCGTCCAGTTCTCTTGTGCTAACTTCTTGTTACTTCGGTAAGAAGACGCCCATGTGATTCTAGAAGTCCCAAGCACCGTGCAAATAAGGACAGCAGCTCGACACTAGCTTCCAGTTGGTCCTTTGGGAGATGACCTGGAACTGAAACGATGGAAGTAAATGTGGCACCTACTCCTCCGCCCAACAATAGCAACTGCCTACGCGATGTGTGCGGAGCGCAATATAACGGGTTCTTGGTTGAAGTCTTCCGCAAACCGTCTAGCACAAGTGGCCGAACCCTAAAAACCAACAGCCTCAAACCCCAAACTTCCTAATCCTAAACCCTGAACCCTAAACTTCCCCAACCCTAGACCCACACTTCCCAAATCAAAAAACAACCCTAAGCCCTAAACCCAAACTTCCCAAATCAAGAAAGGAAACAACACCCAAGACACCTCAAAAGGCCCAGAACCCAAACACTCCACCAAAGCAGCCTCAACCCTACTTGCAGGTTCACGTCGTAATAAATGAACCTGCAAGTAGACACCCAAAGACACCAAACTCCCGAAAGAACCGAGAATGATGTCGGAACCTGATTAACAAACCCTGGCCCATTTACCTCCAAATTTTACCCTTACTGCTGATGGACAAAATCCTGCATTACCCATTATAAGGAATATACCATACTTCCCTGAGTTTAGAGTCCTTAGGGTCATGCAGGATTTCGTCCATCAACAGTATGGAGACCCAAGGTTGCTTCATGAGGTTCCTATATTCGTCAAGAGCTGCGGTCTGAGGAAGCGCTGTGCTTTTGATGGAATCTCGAAAAAGAGCGTGCGGGTTCGATGTCTTATAGGATGATGAAAGGCTGTTCTTCGATTTCCAAGAGGCCTTGATCTCAAAATGAGGGGTATATACCCATTTAGGGCAAAATCGTTGTCTGATACTCCGGGATTTGGCCCTCCTCTCCCTTGTTCTCACTGAAAATCCTAAACCCCTATACTGAACCCCAGAAAGTTGGAACATAGAATTAGGATTATTCATGCTGGGATTCCCTATACTTTACGTTACGTTAAGGGCATGATGCTAATGATGTTCCAACTTTCTGGCTTCTACTGTAATTGAAACCTTAAGCCCCAAACCAGTCCTTTGGATGAGGCTTCCAGTCTTTGGTGTTGGCCGCGCCGCCGATAAACTTCACGTCGTGTGGGCATTGCCTTGGGCTTCGGCCGCATCTTCCCAAAATTTTGGGAGGATCCAAAAAGTAGACCCCTTAATGGGGGTTCCTACAAAGTACCCTTAGTAGTATAGGGCCCCGAATTAGGGTATCTACTTTCAGGATCCTCCCGGGGGTCTAGGTTATTAACGGCGTTATTAACTTCGGGCAGCACTCAAATAGGGTTGTTTGAGGGTATTGTACGGCTTTATGGCTGTTGCAGAGAGAAACCCTGAGCCTTAAACAACAAAGCTGACAACCCTGACGCCCTAAACGCTGAATCCCCAAACTGAACTTCTGTGTTGGGATCCCTTACGCAATACAGTGGCCTAGATAAGTACCATCACAGTTCTCGCTCCTTATTATACTTTTTTTTTTTTCCGACCAGTCACGCTTGGAATTGCATTCCCACATGTGTCTGCTAACTTTCTGCCTGTACAAACGTTAGTGGATATGCTACAACGCCGGCGCGTATGGCGGACGATGAACGTCGGCTCGTATGGCGGACATAAGTATAACCCTGGGGGTCAAAATCCCCCGAAGGCCTTATGTAGTATGGTCTTTGGGCCAAAAAACCTCAATATATGAGTCCTTAGAGCCCTAGGGTAATGTACCGTATACCCCGGAAACCTATTCCAACCCTTGCGCCCTGTATACCAGATGGCTGAGGCCAGCGATATGAGGGTGGAACTCCTTCCACCAGATGCACGGCACAGAGTAGGGCTTGCGGTTTAAGAGATAAGTTTTTCTTTAACGCCTTTTCCATCTTGCAGAAGGAATCCCGTAGAGAAGGCGAAGTGAAACTTAAGACCCCAGGAACTGGACCGCATTCGCCACGAGGGGTATTGACGACCACTGTCTTGTTCAGAGTTAGGGTTTAGGGTTTAGGGCTCTATAACCTTGTTTAGGTAACCGAACTGGTAATATTGAACAAGCTAGCAGCCGGGCTAAACCCGAAACCCTAAACCTGCAGTCACCCTTACAGAGGCCTAAAAATCCCCAAAAGAACCAGACAACGAAATCGGAAACCGGGAACTCTAAACTTACCTTTGGTTCGGAAAGGAAGAATATAGTAGATAGTAGTTATAAGTATAGCCACCCCATTCCTCCATTCTCTACTAACCAAAGGCAAGCAAAACATCCTGAAAAGCCGAGGATCGCGTCGCAGTACCCGGTGCCGTACTTGGCGCCGGCGGCGTTGTATCCGAGGCCTTTTCCTCCGTCAGCAGCCATCTCGATGAAATACCTCCGGGACTGATATAGTTTATAAGGCTTATACGGAGTGTGGAAATTTTAGATGGGTGCAATTCAAGCCTTTTTTGGTGGGGTTTCTGAGGGATATACGGAGAAACAAGGGCTCTTTTAGCAGGGTGTCGGGTTTGGGGCTTTGTGGGCTTCGGATTGATTAGGGTTTAGGGTTCCTGAGGGGGATGTCAGTCTTCGGTCCGGGTTTCATTATTTGGTCTTGTCGTCGTAAGAATCATAGGGATCCTTAGGGGTGTAGGGGGAGGGGGGGTAGGGGGCCTTAAGGCCCATAATAAGGACTAATAAGGCCTATTTAAGGAAATATAGTCCCCTACACCCCTCCCCCCTACACCCCTAAGGATCCCTATGAAAGAAGCCCTTGCACTTACAGCTTCATGAGCCCTTCGTCTTGAGTACTTTCAAGATAGTGCAACTTTGCCGTGGTATGGATAGTGAGATCAGCCCTTGAGATCAGTAAATCTCCAGCCGTTCCTGGAGCCAAAAGAAATTCAACCTCATTGAACCCTAAACCCTAAACCATCATTAACCAGATGTCGCGATCTCCGTCATCCTCGTCACCAACAACATCATCCTGCTATTCGTCGTCGTCGTTGTTGCCATCGCCATCACCACCAATGCCACCATCGTCACCGCTATCTTCAAGGTCATCGTCATCTTCCATGACCATTGTATTGCGTGCCTATTGCGCATCGCCTATTGCGCATCGCCGGCATAGTTTCATCTCTGGTGCCTCAATATGACTCCAATCATCAACAGCAGCCTTGTCATCGTCATCGTTACAACCATCGTCAACTCCAGGGCAGTTTTTCACTGAGCACGACATACCCAGGACAGATTTCTCCGACCGAGCATCAACACATAACTATTCCAGGACAGTTTCCTTTCCCTGGCTATTTTACAAAAAAGAAGCACGACATACAAAGAACAGTTCTCTCCGACCGCATCAACAAGCAGCTATTCCTGGAGCCATCATCAGCCAACAGCTCCACAATCGTAGGCCTTGCCTTGTATATGCATAGCGCGTTGTTAATGAACCATGTTGTCATCGCTGCTGCTTTTCCTGCTCCTGTTTATATGCTCGTCTTCGCCAGCTTTGCACGGATGTCGACGATGAACATCTTCGGGTTCTGAGCTATGCAGGGATGTCTGCAAAGAAGAGCGATCATTCTAATACCTAAAACGCTCGCTAAGATTGGAGAGGGTATGGACGGTATGGAGCTGCATGCGACTCAGCTGCATGGCACCGTTCATGCCACACTCCACAGTGGACGAGTCCACATCCAACGCAAACTCTCCTGTCTGTGGCGTGCGTTCGCGTAACGACCCGCACGAAAGTCGAACTCTAATCCTACACTACAAACCCGCAGACATGATAAACTCTTGTCAAACCCAACACTGCTAAAGTGGCACCTCGACATACTCGATAAATCCTGCGATTGGCATCTGCAGGAGACAATGATTCTACGTGCTGGTTTGACAGACATGCTGGCATTTCTGTGATTGGCTTCTGAGCTCCAACCGTATTTCCGCACCCTTCCACAGACACCACGGAAGAAGCCTTGATAGTCGGAATGAGGGTATACCTACTTGTCGGGTATCATGGGGAACTAAAGGTTAACCTGTTGGTTATATAGGGATGATATAGGGACTATACTACCCAAAAAAGGTCAAAGGTTACCTACTCTACTACAACTAGGTCTACAATAGCCGTACCAGAAGCATAACCAACACCCGGTGGAATTGTATTGATGATTAGTCCGACCCATGCCTTGAGATCCCAATACCCCTTAACTAAGGAATGTACCTGAAACTATAGGTGCTTCATATTATGATTTAAGGTATGTTCCTCAATTGAATTAAGGACCTTAAACTATAGGGGGCTTAATTTTATGATTCATAAGGTATATTCCTGAATTAAGGGGTTGGGGGATCTCAGGGTGTCCATTAGCAAAGTTCGAGACGGTCGGAAACAACCTGGAACAAGCAAGGGTTTCCAATACTTCCCAAGGGCGGATGGCTAGGGCTGAGGTCGAGTTCCTTCATTCTCTAGGGCTTTGGCTTTACTATAGAGGCCTTCATAATTACTTACACTATTGGGGGTTCCTTGTTATAGTTTTAGTATAATGGGCCCCGAAACCCTATTCCAATTATTAAGGCCGCTATAGTAGGATTTGGTATTCCGGCTTAGGGCTTCGGGCTTTGGGTTTAGGGCTTCGGACCCAGCGTTCAGGTTGAGTTTGACAGGGTCGACGTCTTTGCGAGGCCTTGTGATTCTTTCGTATGCTGTCGTCACCAGGGCTCTTTATACGGATGGAAGGAGGGTTGTAAGTTGTGGTTTCTGAGTTACCGTTCATGGTTGTAGGGCGTGGGTTCAGGGCTAAGGCTTTATGGTTGTAGGGTTCGGGGGCCGAACTCGACCACTGCGTTTTACGCAGTTCAGGTCCGCCTCCCCCACGACATCACTATCAACTCTGGCGCTTAAGGGCGTTGTCGTTATTCAAGCCCTAAGAAACACCAGCCCTTTTCCTTTAACAAACCTATAAAACCCAATCCAAAAAAACGAAACCAAAAAAAACAAAACCAAAAAAAACAAAACCAAAGAAACCTAAAAATCAAAAAAACAGTATTTCAGTGCTCTTCCAGAATAACATCAGAAATATACACAAATGGGAGAGTGCTGACAGAATGCTGTTTTTGTTTTTGTTTTTAGTTTTTTGGTTTGATTTTTTTGGTTTTGGTTCTTAGGTTTCGACGCTTTGAGACACATTGGCTACGTGTCAGACAGTTCAATGAATCGCTGCGCGTTTCAACAGAAGCCGATGCGTGTCAGTCGTGTGCTGCATCACATATATCGCTCATGCATCACTGGTCTCACTCATGCCGTATACAATTTGTGATTCGCGGTGTTCCGTACTCAAGCCTAGTATAACCTAGTTCTATTTTCCGGTGACTCATATCTGCACAGCAGTCGCGATTCATGAAAAGCTTCCGGTGGCCGCCTCAATACTTATTAAACTATCTTGGTTGGAAAGGACTGTAGTGATACAAAATGAAACTAACGTGCAACCTCTCACCAACTGAACTAGTATCATTCCAACCACTATATTAAGTAATCTCCTTAGTCTTGTAGTCTACTAGGCTTAAACATTAGAAACCACTGAGATGTAATGATGTAAGCTTTCACATAACATCACTAGAACACACGTGAAAAACTTAGACAACTTGATTTGTATTAACCTCTACACACAGCTAACCTAGACCATTCATGCCAATGCCACTACCTATAGCTGTTCATCTAGTGTTAGTAAGTCATTTTAATACTGCAGAAGACAATACATATAATAGTCCTAATGTAAGACATAATGAAAAGTGCAACAACATAATAAGAGTCATGAAAATCTATATCAATAGCAGCACTAATTACCAAGTATAATACCGGTTGAACCACCTATTGTAAACAGACTATATGAAGGATATACTATAACAGTTAACATTAGTTGTGAAATAATATCAATAGACATGCATTACATGTCCAGGGATGTAGAATACCAGCTACATGATCGTAACGAACAAGTTGGTAATGATAATATAACCAATGTATTAACCTGTATTGTAAACATATGATGTGTCCAAACTAGATTATCCTAATAGACAAAGACAACTCATAGCCTCATAGCTCAGGTTATCCGATTATAGACAAGTTAACCCAAGACACTAAATATGCAATAAGCCAGTTATTGTTAAACTATTGATTATCGAATGCTGGAAGGGTAGACTTCTGGATTCCCAAAGAACTAAATCAAACATTGATAGAACATAGCATCACCTCCAAATATGAAGCAAATGCTATTGTATTAAGTGCATACCTGTTAATAACCTTAATTAGTGAAGCATCGCACCTGTTAAGATTGGTAGACCTATTAATAAGATAGATGATGTAGTCCTAACTGATCTCGTTATATGTTGGTTATGTAGCTTAACATCAACCTAATGATTGCACAATGTGACAAGTAATACAGAAATTATATAGATGTTAATGTTGATGACAGAGCTGATATAGTTAAACTATAGATAATAAGATTGATACCGCGCACATACACACACACACACAAAATTCTCAGCATCTTCCTAAACTATGCAAAGCGCAGCGGTCGACTTCGACCCCGTAACCGGTTGTAGGGTTTAGCTACCATGCAAACGATCCCCGAAACCCATGCCCAAGCTTACCGGCACCGCCGGTAACATCGTTATATAGCGACTATAAGGGGAAATATGACTAGCTACTATTCTGACCTTGATCTTCAAAGCTTCGGCCATATTCCTTAATTAAAGGGGATTTGAATCCCTAAACCCTATAGATCCCTTTAAAGGAACCCTAGGCATATTCCTTAATTAAGGGGTATTGGGCTCTGCTCAACAAGGAGCCCTAAAGCTTGGTGCTTGCACAGCGACGGTTCTTGAGCTTGAAGAGCTTGTAAGTGTCGTCGTCCTCCTGGATGCCGTACACAGCGAAGCGCCGGTTAAGGTTTAGGGTTTAGGATTTAGGGATTAGGGTTTTAGGGTTTAGGGCTTATGGAGGAATATGGGAGTATCATGGGGCGAGCTGTATGGCTTGATGCGGAGCCGAAATACTACAACCCAAGGACTACGAACAACCAAAACAATTCTCGAACATCCGCAGATGCCTGAAAAGCCCCGTGTCACCTGTCACACAACAGCCGAGGTGCCAAGAGGAATGCCGCATGAATTTAAGCAACGTCCGTGACAGGCCCCTAATTACCCAGAAGACACCGACTGTACCACCCTTAATCCAACGTCCCCACAGGTCTGAGCTTCACCATTAGTTTCCTAAGCAGAACCCGAGGGTCCTGGGGTCTAGGGCCCTAACTCTATTAGGTCCTTGGAAGCATAGGGTAAACCCCTTTAACAAGAACCCAGGAAATTTTCCGCCCCGTGCGATCCCAAGGACACCAAAGAAGCCAAGGGGCCAAGAGAAACAAGCGAGATCCGACGTTGGAGCCCGTGACGAAGTTCAGTTTCACACCTCCAGGCACAGCGGTGATGCCGTAGATGCTCCTGGGCTCGGAAGTGAAAAGAAAGCTTTTGAAAGCTCTCAAGAGGGTAGTTTGAGGGCTTCTATAGGGCTTCTGATGGTTCCGTTTTCTCTCAAGACTGTGAGAAGAAAGAGGTCTGTAGGGGTTATTGTCGCGGATCTTTGAACGTACTATGGTGTGGTAGCCTTCAGAGATGTGGGGGTGTGTTATGCTGTAATCATAAGGGCGCTGAAAGGCCTCCAATAGTAACTGGGTAGCTCTTTAAGGTCCATATTGCAGGATCCAAGTAAAAACCTCAACTAAGCTCCCCCAGTAAGCCCTGAAAAAAAGGTACCCTTTTCCTAATATTCTGTTTAATTAATAGGCAGAACCCAACATGAAAAGGGCAACAGGGTACATCTCAGGAACCCACTCAAATAGCAACCCGACGGAAAACCGGTTCTGGTTGGTTACTGTAGGGTTGCACCCTACAACCGGACCTCTGAGACTCTGAGCTCAAACCAGAAAACACTCCACCCGAATCCTCTAACGCAAAAACAAAGTTTCACTAACTAACAATGCATAGAGCCCTTCACCCAATATCAGCACTAATTAGACACATACTTAAACCCTAAAGCCCTAAATTCTGACACAGCGGCTCGTACTGTGCAGCATCCACCGCTTCTAGCGCACAGCCTTGTGCACAGGCGTCCTTCAGGGTTTGATGCGTGGGTCGCGGGGCTTGTAAGGCTACACAAAAAAACCAAGCCCCTTTAGAGCCATCCCCAAACCCAAATTCTCCCTTTCATACATGTGGTGACTACACACACACACATGCATGCACGCATGCATGCATCCATACTTACACACATACACATACACATGCACTTGCAGCTGCAGATGCAGATACACAGATACCGGTACACGTACGAAAACATAAACAGATACAGAAACAGATACACATGGACATGCACATGCCTACACATATGCACATACATATACATATATATATATATATATATATATATACATACATACATAAAGACATATATACATATATACGTGTATACATACATACATATATACATGCTTACATGTGTGCAGAAATACATACACATGGACATAGACATGTACATACATTTACGTACATAACTACATACGTACATGCATGCATACATACATACATACACCGCGATCAAGACGTACTTTAGAGGCCAGCTCGAGACATACAGTAACTCTGCAGCCCTAAACCCTAGGGGTGCATACCCTTCTAGATCCCTTATAGTAACCTTTATAAATCCCCGAACAGCAACCCCGACAAGGAACCCTGCACCCTAACCCCTAAACCCTGCACTTTGAACCCTAAACCCTGAATCCTAAACCCTAAACCCTGAACCCTAAACCCTAAAACTTGAACCCTAGCCCTAGTTATCTAGGCCCCTACTTAAGCGGAAAGGCCCCAAGCTCCCGTCCGGGTCAGAGCAGATGCTGCTGTCCCAGGTATTGCCGGTGTAGCAGTTCTTGTACCTTTTAGGGTTTACTGTTCAGAGGGTTTGAGGGTTTAGGGTTCGGGGTGTAGGGCCCAGGATTCGGGGTTCAGAGGGTTTGAAGCATGAAACATGTAACTCCGTGCGTTGTGGGTATATAGCCAGATGTTCATGCAAAAAGGTAGATGCATATTATGATCTGCATACATACAGACAGACAGCCAAGCCTACTCATGCACAGGACAGGCATGTATGTGAGAACATGTGCAATTGCATTCACGCATGTTCCTTGGCATGCATGCATTGGAAACGCGTATACACCTTACCCTGGCAAGTTACGCTGAGTTTTTGAATGCAGCTACGTCTACGGATCGGAACCCGAAGACCCAGAAATTGCAAGCTGGCACCCCGGATGTAGCGACTAAAGGTCAAGACATCTGTGCTGTTCCAATTGCCCGTCGGTTGTGTGGATCCAGCGCCAGTTGGCATCCAGCACCAGTTTGTGCTCCTGCACCGATGGTTGACTCCAAAGCCCGAATCCCAGAATACTCCGATAAATCTATAAACATTCTATAAACCATACGTACGTCCATGCAACACTGCTGCTCACCAAACCCAGGTATCCAAAACACAAACAAACTTTCGATCCTTAATGCAAGTACTTCGCAGATATAAAAGCCCTCTCTACCGAAAACCTAACCCTGGTCTTCCGAGCTGGCGAGAACCAGGAGGGTCACGCCAGCGAGTGACACAAGCTTGGAAGCCGCATTTGAGAAATAGGCATCTGGGATTTGTTTTCTGGTGTCACAACCTGCCGGAAACCATGATACGGTGTTTCCCAAGCAAATGGTGGCGGGAAGCACATGGAAGCACAAAAACGAGGAATCAACTATGCAGCCATGACAGCGACGTGCCTCGATGTCCATGAGGACGCGCGGTATCCGAATGGGAAGAGCTTCTTGTGTGCGCGTGTACTCAGACGTGCGGCTGTCATGCTGTCCTTGAAAATCTCTTATGTAGCATGGATGTCAAATCATCATGGCACTGTTCTCAGTCTTGTAACCTTGTTCTGAAATCATTATCGCATCACCCGTCTGGCCATCCCACATCACCAAGGCCATTGCGCAGTCCTTCCTGGCAGAAGTTGTCAATCTGTACCCCGCCCGCCCGCGCACGTCCAGAAACATGCCGTCAGTAGTTTGTGCCTCTTCGCCCTGTCATGCGTTCGGTGCGATCGGAGCAGTATTCCGAAGTCTGAAAAACACTGGATAAGCCGTGTTTAGTTTCCTCACTGCAGCTTACGTACGCCCTAAACTGTAAGGCTTACAGTTTGTGGAGTAGGGGCCCAACCAGGCATCCTAATATCGGGACCGTAGTAGTGCAGACCCCACGCAGCACAACAGAAACTGCGACACTTTCTCTAGACAGAACTCTGCAGAGCCAGGACTGCCTGGATCGTGGCGTTGCGCTACAAGAGCTGTGAGCGCTGAAAGCTCGAAACATATCATGCACCCCCTGAACCCTTTACATACAAACCCACACGCACACACACACACACACACACGAATACACGACACACGAATCTCTAATCCTTGCACAGCATGAAATCCGAGCTTTAACTTGTCCCAAGCTCTAAACCCGACCCACTCGGAGTCCAAAAGAACAACTTCCAACCCCTACACTCAAAAGAGTCCTAAACAAATCTGACAGCCTAATCGCCTAAACCCTGCAATCGAAAAACTCTCCTAAACCCTAAACTCCCTGGTGCTCAGTAGGGACTGGGGGAATAGATCCCTATAGTCGTCCCTATATAATCCCCAATAGTAGTCCCCATAACCCATTCCCACATTCCCTACTAAGCACCAGACAGCCTACTAAGAACCGTATAGTATAACCCTGATAGTAACCCAAAAGGAACCCAGAAAGGAACCCCATTCCCTACTAAGAACCAGACAGCCTACTAAGGACCCTAAGCCCCTATAGTATAACCCTTATAGTAACACTTACAGGAACCCTTAAAGGACCCTTCTTACCCACTAAGAACCAGACAGCAAACCCCAAAACTAAAAGGCGCCGAAACCCTCGGAAGGACATCTACTTAGGATCATGGGACCTGTTAATTAGGGTGTAGTATTGGGGTAACTATACTTATAATAATTACCTATAGCCCCCACTTAAGCATACTAAGTCCCATGATCCTCCAAGTAGTTAGGGTTTAGTCTTGTTTAGTGGGCCCTTTTTCCATCTGCTGAAGTGTCTGAAACCCTGGGTCGAGGTGGTCTGCTGGTCAGAACCAAGGTTTACTGTCCCGTTCTTCTTACCTTTGGTTAGTAGGGAATGGAGGAATGGGGTACAAGTATAACTACTATTCCTGCCATGCTTCCATTCCCTACTAGCCAAAGGTAATAGTAGGGAATAAATAAGGTTCCTTTACGGGTTCCCGTAAGGGTTACTATAAGGGTTATACTATGGGGGTTTAGGGTTCTTAGTGAGCTGTCTGGTTCTTAGTAGGGACTGGGGGACATGGGTTATTGGGACTGTTATTGGGGGATTCTATAGGGACTGTCATAGGGAGCCAATTCCCCCATTCCCTGCTAAGAACCAGACGGCCTAAGGTTTAGGGAGTATGGGTTAGAGCTTAGGGTGTCTGAGATCCCGGGTTGTAGACTACTGATGGAACCCTAAACCCTAAACCTTAAACCCTAAACCGTGGTTTAGGGTTTAGGGTTTAGGGCAATCCAAGGGGTCTGAAAGGGTGTTATGTACAACAGCCCAGAAGCCCTGACCCCTGAACCCCAACTCCTAAACCCTAAACCCCTAAGCCCTCGAAACATTGACTGCTTGCAGAAACCCCTAAACCCTAAAGACCCTCCCTAATATACCCCTTTGAAGGAACCCTAGGAACCCTACTTGGAGGATCATGGGACTTACTAAGTATGGTTATAAGTACCTTGATTGGGGTTATGAGTCATTACAAGTATAGTTACCTTGAGAATAACCCCAGTTACTAAGTCCCAGAATCCTTTAAGCATAAGGTACTTATTGAAGGCCCCCCTAAAGTCTCCTTCGTGGTGCATCCCTGCGCCTTGGTACATTCCTTCACTGCCATGGTCGGGTTACCTGCAGCGGAAGTTGGGGCTTGGGCTTACCCTAAGGCTCCTAAGCGGGGCATGGGATCTCTGGGGGAGGGTTTGGGCTTTGGGGGCTAAGGTTTGGGATCTCACTACCAGGGACCAGGAGCATTAGTAGGGTAAGTTTCAGGGGTTTAGGGGTTCAGGGGTTTAGGAGTTCAGGAGTTTATGAAGGGTTCAGGGTTTAGAGGTTCAGGGGTTAGGATTTAGGGTTTAGAGGTTCAGGGTTTAGAGGTTCAGAGGTTCAGGGGTTTATTGGGGGTTTAAGGGTTTAAGGGTTTAGGGGCTAGGGCCTTTTCAAGTTTAGGGCCTGGCGGGCTTGGGGGTTTGCTTCAGGGGATTAGGGCTAGGGAGCTTTAGGGTTTGAGGATGGGGCTTTGTAATTGTTGGGTCTGGGGGATTTTGGGTTGAGCGGTATGACTTTAGGGATAAGGGTTTAAGCTTGAAGGATTAGGCCTAAGGGGATTCAGGGTTTGGGGATGAGGTTTAGGGCTGTGGGGATTCGGGGAATCTGGTTTTGGGGTTTTTGTATTTATATAGGTTTGGGGTTCAAGGTTTTAGGAGGTCTGAGGATTTGGGGTATATAGGGCTTAGGGCTTGTATCTGAAGGGTTGGGGGGGTTTAGGGGTGAGGCCGTGTGATGATCGGTGTGAGTGATTTTGAGGTTTGGGGTTTAGGGTTTGGGGTGTATGACAGAGCCCTTGTAATCGCCCCCGGGTTATAGAATCGACAGGCAGTCCGGATTGAAACAAGGACACCACTGATGGGCTGGTATCCTTCGGAGTCCTGCATGCTCCAGCCGCTCTTCCACACTTTCAACCATATCTCTGAACCTTAAGCCTTAAACCGCTAAACCTTAAACTCCAAGTCCTAAACCCTAAACCCCTAACTCCTAACCCCTTAAACTGCTAAACCCTAAACACCTGAATCCTGTCTCATGGGACCTCTTGCCACGTAGAATGACCAACTGTAGCCTTTCTAACTGCGAAAGTGGCCCACGGGCACGGGGACCTTTTCCATCATGCACCTTACCCCTGGATACCCCCAGCTCATAGGAACCCTTGAGTGAATCCTTAAAGGAAACCGTGAAAGGAACCCCCATCGTACTCTTTGATTTACAGGGGATCGCATTACACAACCCCTTGGTACCCTTTACAGTGATCCCGTTACAGAACCCCACCTTCGGTCTTCAGCGTTCCGGCTTGCTGCGCCGCGCACAGAGGGAGCCTAAGAGCTCTTTGGGGTTTTCCCTCCTGAACCCTAAGCCCCAAAACTCCAAAACCTCCTAGTGAAGGAAAATATCTTAAATTTTATTGGGGTTCCCAGTACATGTTAACGTGTGTATTCGTCGATAAGCGGTGTTGGAATCTCCGCGACCCTTAAAACCTAATCCCAGTTTCGCAGGGCTGGTGGGGGCTTGCGCTGATAGGGTCTTTCGGGGTATTGGGGGCTTGTAGGGCTTTCTTCGCATTTACAGGGATCCATAAAACTGATAGAGGTGGGTTTAGGGCTTTGGGGTTTGGGGGGTTATGCCTGGACTGCTGGAGTCTAAACCTTTGCAGCACACATGCCATAAAGGATCTAGGGCTTGGAAGTTTCAAAGTAAAGCTTCAGGGGATTAGGTTTCGGAGCCTTGGGGTGCTGTCCGAGGGATTTTGGGGATAGAGGATACGGACTTCTTGGCTTTTGACTTCAGGGTGTTTTAACTAAGGGTCTAGGTTTTCAGGGCTTAGGGTTTCAGATAAGGGCTTTAGGGTTCTGGGGTTTGAGACTTCAGCAATATGAGCTTTAGGTGTTGCGTTCCAGGTCAGGTGAGGAGTTTCCGAAAATACGGGACCCTAATATTTAACATAATACCCTGAATAGTAGGATCCTTATCATAGAGACCCCAAAATAAGGTGCCCCCTCATTTTCGGAAAGATGAGGATGTGTTAGGGAATTGGGTTCTCCATTCATGAGACGGCCAGACTCGGCTTCTGGAGAGCTTGCAGGTTTCGAGCAACACCCATTACTTAAGCAATATTCCTTGAAGAACCCTTAAGGGATCTATCAGGGTTGTATAAGGAAACTACCTATAGTCTCCATTGTAGTTCCTTTTTTGGCTAACCACATTTCAATCGTAGGATCCTTACCATGAAACTGGTCAACAAAACCCAGTCTTCTGAATTCGATACGAACACAGGTTCGTAAAACCGAAACCCACCAACTACGTAGGAGGTTGGGGTATAAGGCTCAGACGACTGGGAAGGAAAGAAGTGTTCATGCAGCACCATGCTCTTTCGGCTATAAGGTCCGTCCATCAGCTTCTTCCCAGGGTCTGACGCTTGATGATATAAATCCTGCATTTGCCAGAATAAGGAATATGCCATAATTCCCATAGTCTGGAGTCATTACGGTAATTCAGGATTTAAATCATCACCCGGAGCTCTAAGGACATGCTAGACCTCAGAATCTTGAGAAGTTCTCGTCATGCCACACTTCCCACAACGACTCTCCTGCTAATGCTCCATTATAATTCAGATAACTATACCTATATAATTACGTATAACCCCACATAAGGTACCTATAACACTACTTACTAAGCCCCATGATCCTCCAAGTAAGAGGGTTATAAGCCGGGCTTGTTCCTCGTTGCACTGCCTCAGTATCCCTAAGGGTCCAAGTGCCCAATTATCATATACTCTCGAAAATAGTAACTTACATATCCCCAAAACGAGTACCCAATTATTGGGCCCCTTGGACCTTTAGGGTATAGACAATAGGATTTAGGCTCAGCATTTCCGTTCCGAAGCCAACTGGTTTCCAAGAAGCAGCATCAGAACAATGCTGAGCACCATGGCTTGCCGCTTTGCCAGCAAATTGAGTTGACCCTTGCGTGCTTCAAAATGGCTACGGGCAGCAATGCATTGCAACCAACAAATGTATTGTGCTGATGAATGTGGCATTGGTTGAAACCCAGTATCCGTGCACGAATGATAAGAAACATACAAACACAACAACTAACAGCGCCATAGAGAAGACGCCGTTGCCAAACAGCTGATGTCGACGAGTTACTGAGCCTAAACCCCAAATCCGGAACCCTCTAAGTTTAAACTCTGAATCCTAAACCCTAATTTCTGAAACAATGACTGATTGAGGGCAAATCGCAATCGGATCAAGCTGGAATATGATTTTTAGGTTTATATGAAGTTCCTGTCGAGCATCAAGATCTGTAGGAACGCACATCAGCTCTTCTGTGAGTTTGGGTAGGGTGTTAGTGGTCGTAAAGAAAATAATCAGGAGATGGTTTCCCACTTAGGTTTTCGTAAAGTTGACAGTCTTTTAGGATATTGCAGGGGGTTTAAGGCGTGTAGGTTTAAAAGGCTTCAGACTTGATTGTGTCAAGTCCTTCGGGACAATAGCGGGACAATAGACGCAAACAACTCAGGAATAAGGTTTGGCCTTGTAGGCTTAAGACTTCAAGAGCTTAGCCAACAGGCCCTAACGCCCTAAGTCTTACATTCCTGCATTCTTCAATCATGGTTTAGGGTCTGAGTTTGGGGTAAAACAACCCAAACCGGAGACTGTCCAGGGTTCAAACTGAGCTCTCTGCATGAACACTGCAGCCAAACAGCCCACTTGGCATACAAAAACAAACCCCGTCAAGGATCCAAAGGCAAAGCCATAACACGGCTACTTCCTATCTTGGAAAAGACATGAACCTCGACCCTAAACCCTACCCGCTAAACCCGACTTCCCTAAGCCTTAAACCCGTAAACCATAAGCACTAAACCCAAAGCCCCAACAGAAGCCATCCGAGCCTTCGGCTTCAACAAAGCTCCGTTGCGGCTCGATGTCCTGAAGGTCCGTACGGCTTCGAGATTAACACGCAGCTCAGGGGTTATAAGGTCTAGGGTTTAGGGCTTATAGGGTTTAGGTTAGGGCTTATATGGTTTAGAGCCTATAAAGGTTTAGGTACGTAGGGCTTATATATAGTGCTCCGAGTTTAAGGCTCATATATAGGCTTTTAGGGCTGCCGGGGTTTAGGGTTGTGGATTTCGTGTTTCTGGGTTTCTGCAGGATGTAGGGATCAGAGTACCTCTCCTTCTGTGTCATGCTGTGCTATATCAGATGAAATCTTATAACTATGTTATAAGTTAGGTATATATCCTAAACCGTAAACCCTATATCCCAAACCCTAGCTGTATTCGCGGGAGATGCCCCCAGATACCCCCGAGCTCACGTTGAGAAAGAGGTACGTTCCTTGCAAATGATCTTGCAAGAATGGAGGACCTGAATCCACACACACACACACACACACACACACACACACACACACACACACACACACACACATTATAAGGACCCTTAGGCGGGCTAGGGGGAGTGGGGTAGGGGGACTATACTTCCTTAAACAGGGGTCCGCATGAACACACACACACACACACACGTCCTCCATACTTCAGAATTTGAAACGACTCACTCTGAGTTTATACTAGGCGAACGGAAAGACATAGCGAGCAGGGTCCTGTTTTGTGTGCATAGATACCATGACCTATTATACAGGTTCATAGAAACTGGCACTTGAATTTGTTTGCGGCTCATCCAGCTTCTTCTCGATGCGCCTGCCATTGGGGATCGGGGTTTAAGGCCTTGGCGGTCTTAGTACGTCAGCGCTGCATGGTTTAGTGACAGGTATCTTTCTGGAGATGCTCCTGGATTCAGAACATATGAAATACCGTACTGTGCGATTAGCATTACAAATCATGCCATAAACGTCTATTCACATCGAACTGCACGAACCATGACGTGACAGAGAGCAACGGGCCATGGTCTTGCAACAGGGGTGGAGCAGGTACCGTGATGCCAGTGTCTGTTTCGAACTCTTAACGCACCCGCCCAATGGCAAACTGCATTTCAATGGCGAGTTCCTGTTGAAACGCAGTCTCCGCTTCCTCTTTGTCCCTCTGGCTCTTGAGCTTGTTGAGCCTGAAATGCT